TAGGTACTACATGACTTGAATTATACTAGATCATTTAAAAATAATTTGGTTATTCTTGTGTTTTATTTTTTCAGATAAACTTTAAAATGGTTCTTTTTTTAAGTTATTCAATAAAAGATTCATATGATTGAAGTTGTATTAAACCTATTCTTTTAATTTTTGGTAGAATTGGCTTCCCCCCCGACCCCCAATTTGCCAGAGAGTATGTATGTACACCAGAGAAGAGCAGCAGAGAGATGGAGAAAAATAAGAAAGCTTCTTCACATGGGGGATGGTCATGTCTCAATTTCTTCTTCTTCATCTCTCTCACCTTTTCAGATTTGGGGCATGCATGCACACATGCCTGGTATGTTTTTCAGGTTGCCATGTCCTGGACTTGAACCATGCAGTTGATCCAGTGAAATCTTAGCCACCATGCTACTTGGCTGGCCTAAAATGGTTCTTTTCTATTTAGATTTTTTTGCCATAGGGTGAGTACACTCACTGGAGAGAGACAGAAAGAGAAGAGAAATGAGAAATCATTCCCCCCGGGGGAGGAGCAAAGATAGCCATGGTGTTATCCCTTCTCCATTCTCCTCTTGGAATTTTGGGCACGCACACATACATATCCAGCATGTTTTTCAAGTCACCACGTCTGGGACTTGAACTTCAGTCAGCCATGAGGAATCTAGTGCCCTCACCACCATGTCACCTGCTGAATTGGCATTTTTAACTATCATGATTCTTACTGTCTTCTGCATTTGCTCATTTATGCCTATCTTCTTTTAGCTCTCAATATAGAGTTCTATAGTTTTCTTTATGTGGGTCCTGCACATTTCTCAAGTTTATTATTAGGCTTCTTCATTTTTGTGTTATTGTGAACACAATTTTTCTCCATTATGTTTTCCAACATATAACTGATGCTATATTAATGAATTAACTCACTAGTTCACACTATAGAGAAACCACTTATTTTGCATGCTTATTTTATAACTTGTGCCTTTATTACATTTTCTTATCATAGTTGGGGTTACAAGGAATATTTCTTTAATTGTGATAATTTTGAGGTTTCATTTTCAAAAATAATTGTGGTGATTTTTAAACATGTATGCATATTTTTGGACACTGGTTTATAAGAAGGACAAGCCTACATCCTCTCCCCTTGAATCAAAGCTGACCTTAGCGAATCCCTCATGACTAATAAAAAATCCAACAGAATTAATGCTGTGTAACTTTGAAGGTTAGGTCAGAGAAAGTAACTTAATTTCTACCAGGAGTTCTTGAGACACTCACTCATTCTTGGGGGAGCCAGGGACTACATAATAAGTCTGACTAGTCGGAGATGTCTATACTGGAGATACTACATGTAAATACTTAAGTCAACAGCTCAACTGATCTTCCAGCCAAGAGCCAGCATCAACTGCAGACATATGCATGAGCTGTCTGGAAAATGCAGCCCAGATGAGGCTTAAAATTGACCACAGTCCTAGTGGATATCTGACTGTAATCACATGAGAGACTCTAAACAAGAATTGCCCAACTGAACCCTTTGTGAATTCCCGACCCACAAAATCATGAACAAAATAAAAAGTTATTTTGGGCTAATTTGTTACATAGCACTGGTAACCATAATACCAATCAATTTTTTTCTTGCTTAACTGGACTAGCCACATTGGCATCAGCCAAAAATTCTGAATAATAGTCATGATGTAGATATCCATGAATATAATGGAGATACACTTAACTTTTCTTTATCATTGGGTTGTTGGAAAAGTCCTCATGCATTTTCACATAGAAAAACATGTCCTGACTTTTCCGACAACCCAGTAATACATTTGTCTTTTATATTAAACATCCCGTAGTAACTGAGAACTCCAAATGATCAGTGTGGCTAGAGGTGACAAAAGTTTATTTCGCGTACATATAAAGTTTGTGGGACTCAGGTAACTACCAAAAGCAACCATCTGCCTGAGGTGATTCAAGGATCCAGGTTGATGGAGGCTCCCCTACTCTACAACTGCACCAGCTACAACACAGGACCTGGAGAGTCTCTCACCAGCAATTAAATACTTTGGCATAAAACTGCTACCCATCAGATTTGCTTAAAGTCCTTGGCCAGCTCTTGTGCTCATTGGTGCATTGTACCAACTAATATCAAGGACAGTGGGAAAGTGTAATCTTCCTTTATGTGCAAATGGAGTAGAGAGGTGGATATGGGTGAACCACAGTAATGTCTATGACTTGTTATTTTTACTTCTTATTCTGTAATTACTAGCTGTTGTATCAGGAATAGATATTAAGTTTGGTGACAAAGCTTTTAAATATTAAGATGATTTTCTTTTGTACCTATAGGCTTCCTCAAACTGAAGTCTTTTTAAAATTCTTCTCTAAATTCTTGGCTTACAGACTATTTGGATAAAGAACATTATTTTTAAAAAGCAACATTTACAAGTGTGACTAGTCTGGAAGATCTAGGAATATGTGTGTGTGTGTGTGTGTTCCCATGTACTCTTTCATTTGGCATCTATGCTATTTTAGCTTTATAATATTCATAATGTGAATTGTGAAGCTTTCTCATACTTTCCTTGTTTTAGACTAGAACATACTGCATAGAAATTATTTTTTGTTTGAAAGTTTGATCAAGCTCAATCATCAAACTATCTTATATGTTTTTGGGAAGAAATAACAAATTTTTTTTCTATGGTAATTGGTCTACTCAAATTTTCTATTGCTTGAGCCAATTTTGGTAATATTTATACATTGCTAAAATCACTTACTTGATCAAGATTTTAAAATTTACTAGCCTGAGTTGTACATAATATCCTTTTATAATGATGTATAATTTTCACATTCACTATTATATCCTTTTTATGTTTCCTAATTTTGAGTATTTTTGTTTTATCTTGATTAGGCTTGTCAGCAATTTGTTTTGTTGGATACAACCCCACAAACAAGCTCTTGGATTTAGTGATCAAATCGAGTGCTTTTCTGCATTTGTATTCTTTGTAAAATCTCTTCTTTTTCTTGGCAGAGACTCGATTTCATAGGCAGGAACTTTTTCTCTGATTCCTCAAAGTGAACCTCTGCTTTTGAACTCCTGCATCTTTTCATGTGTCTGCTGATGTCTCCCGCTTGTTCATCCTTACTGGCAAAGTTCTGAGCTTCCTTGGAGTTGGGAGCTGCTGAAGATCATCATGGAGGGGCTAGAAGAAGAGGAAAGGGGAAGTCGAGGTTTGCAGTTATCTTTCTCTGCCAGTTCAGAAGTCTGACAGTATGAGTGGGAGATAGGGGCTCTTAGTAAGGGGAGCCTCCTCAGCCCAAAAAGACTTGTATTTGCACTTAGTGGTGGCTGGAACATCCCCACTCCTCTATCGCCCCCATCTTCCTGGCACGATTCCTCTACTAGGAGCTAGCTAGCTGCCTGTAGGTTTGTCAGGGGTCATGTCCTGCCCAGGGTAGGCTGGAAGTAAATATTGATGCAGTCCTTGACATGTACATGGATCCCAGACCAGATGCTCACCCAACCCTGCCTGGGCTGGTCATTTTGTTGTGAGGCCTTTACACAGCTCTTGTTCCTTCTCACTGTCTACTGGGCAGGCTCGCCAACTATTTTAGCAAAAATGTGAGTTGACTACTCCCAAACCTGAGTAGCAAATAAACATTATGACACATAGGATGAGCCTAGGATATGAATAAAGCCTCTCCCCTGGAGTTGCTTATACCAAGTACATTTTTGTCTTTGGATCAAAAGCTTACTAGATAGCTGGCAGCCCTCTATGGGTACTGGAAGAGCCTCATCTCAGACTAACAGCTGAAGGATGGGCTATTGGGCATACTGTCCCATCCCAGAATAATGCTTAAACCTAGCTTCCCATTTAATATTTCCTTAAAAGCAAGGCCTGATACAGTGTTTTATTTGGAAATATGGTTCTAGGAAGCAATGAGGTTAAGAGGTGTAAGTCAGGGAAGGGGGGAGGGAGGCATAATGCAAGTGTGTTACAGAGTTGGCTATTCCTATGAGGGTTTGTTGGCTCATCCTGGTACCATGTGAAAAGTTACTGTAATATAGTTCAGGATTGCCTTCAGAGGGAAGAAAGGGGAGGCATTGTCCACAGTCTTTAGTCTCCTGTTAGTCAAAGGTTGCACCATGGGGCGTTAATGCCCACACATTTCTGGGTGGCACATCAGATGGGTTCCCGTGGGCATTTCAGAGCAGATCATCTGAAAATAAGAGGCAGGAAGCAAGAGGTGCAGAGCCTGTCTGCATCGTGGCCCTCTCCTGTCTGAACTCTGTAGAAGCCTATTCAGAAATGATCAGGGCAGCCATGATGAGACAAGATGAGAGATCCAGAATATTTGACGTGGTATGCATAGCTATCTGTTTTATCTAGTCTTGTATACATTCAACTAACAACCTCTTTATGCTTCTCTTCAGGGTGCTCCAGTTGGGAAGCATGAGAGCTAAAATCCTCAGTGTTCATTTCTACAAGTTTCTCCCTGCCATTATCCCTCCCATAGAGGTTTTCTTCAATGTCATTTTATCTCTCAAGAGATAGAAATGGACGTTTTTGAGTGAGTACAGAACATCTGGAGCCAGCACCTGGGAAGGATGTACCACTTCATCTTCTTTGAGGCTCTTTTATATCTTTGTAGTAAAATATGATTTAGCAACAGTCACTGATTACGATTCTCATTTCTACTTCTTTTGTCTTATAATCAGAGGAAATTCCTCTCAGTTTCACCCAATGGTTTGATTGCCAGGTGTAGCCACTGGTTTCCAGCTTTAGCTATGTATGTTTAGGTGTTTTAGAGGAAAGCAGGATGAGATGGGGTCAGTTCTCATTATAACAAGGACAGAGGTTTGCTTCTTGGCCCTGCCCTGTCTTGCCTGCATAAAGGAATGGATTCACCTTCTATCTGGAAACATACTTACATAGCGATTAGGCTCCTCATCATTCAAAAGGAAATGTTAATTCTCTTTCTGGCTCAGGTGGCTCTTAAAGCCAGGCTCTAAACTCAAACAACTATGAACAGCTACTTTGCTGGTAATTTTCTGGTATAAAAGCCTCCAGCTCATGGACACTCAGAGAGACCAGAATTGTGGTACTTGGATCGTGTAATACTCAAGATTCTGTGAGCCTACACCTGGTTTAAGTCTGACTTGCAGAGAACTGTGTAGCTGGACCCTTTTTTGGGTCTTGCTGTTTAGAGCTTTCCCTAAGTAGTTCTATGGCATGAGGCCATCAGCCTTCAGGGAGAGGAATGCATTATGTTTGTTAAGGATGTCACCGAAGCCATTATTTGTTAAGGGGAATAATGAGAAAAATTCTCCCAAATTTCATAGAGGGACCACTTTTATTTATGCTGAGAAACTGCTTTATATTTTCTTTTGGACACTGAGTTGACTAAATGCATTTCCCTTTTTGGGAGACTGGGCAGTGCCAAGTTTTTGTATCTCTCTCTCTTTCTTTTTTTCCTTGCTATAGGGCTTGTGCGCTCGCCAGAAAGAGAGAGACAGAAATTGAGAAATCACCCCTCAGGAGGGATGGCCACGCCACAATCCCTTCTCCATTCTCCTCTCTGGATCTTGGGCATGCACGCACATGCGGCTGGCGTAAGTTTAAGCCACCGGTTCCAGGACTCAAACTGCGGTCGGCTACATGGGAGTCTAGCGACATAGCCATTATACTAACTGCTGGTCCCAGTTTTTGCTTCTCTTGATCCAGATATATCTGTCCTGTTCTCATTTTACTACATTGTACTCTCCCACCTTTTCACATATTTGGTCCTTATAGGTATGAAAGTAACATAAAATTTAGAAAATGTGGAAAGTTACAAAGAGCAAAAATTACTCATGTTTCCTATGATGAAACATAATAACCATGAATGAACAAAGTTGTTCATAGATTTACATATTCACTGTATTTTCTTTATGAAGCTGTATTTCCATCCTCCCGTGTACTCTAGAAATCCTGGAATAACTAAACTTTGTTCCAATGCCTTGCTTTTTCCCAGGTAATCATCCCAAACTCTCCACCCCCTCCTCTGGAAATGAGTGTCATTTCTTGATGTGTGCCGTATCTCTGCCCTATGTCAGTAGAGGTTCTAGGCCCAGTCCATTTGCTAAGTTTCAAGAGAAAACCCCTTAGGACAAACACTTGTGGAATCTAGTTGCATTTCCTAACGAGTAAGTGGTCAAAAAGTTTCAAGGGACAAAAGAAATAAGCAGAACATTTAAGGGACAAAAATGAAAAATAATCTGTTGATGATAATACGGATAGTAATATCTTCCCAACATATTCATGATGGGAAAATTCATTTGGTATGCTGTGCCATTTGGTATGCAGTGCTCACAGTGATTGAGTGTAAAACAATAGTAATAATAATAATAATAATGAAAAATTAAACAATCAAAAGGTTAAAAAATTCTAAAATTAATCAGACGGCTTCCTTTCTGTATCTTGTGATCTTTTGACTTTCTCCCTTTGCCCTTCTTACCATCCCTTTAATTCTGTTAGAGGACATTAAATCCCTCTTCTTGACTCCTGCATGGCATATTGGTGAACTCATGCCAAGTCCCCAGGAGTTAAGGGCATCTAGGTTCCTTGAATAAAGACAAAAGTCTTCCAGATAGAGACCATGGAAGTAGGAGAAGATCTTAGGACAAATCATAGTTACCAGAGACCAGTCAAGGTGCTCCTAGATCTGATGTGAGTTACACTCCAGGTCCAGCCACACAGGAAGGCCAAGCCAGGACCCACATGGGCAGCCAGTAGTCATGTAAAGAAAACTGCATTACTTTTATAAGTCTCTTTCCAGGGCCACAGCACACAAGGGTGGGTGTCCAAAAGTGAGGGTGGCTTCCTTATCATCACCTTAGTCCTAATGGACCTAAACCAGCTAGCTTCAAGTGTCTCAGGTTCAGGAGTACTGTGAAGGTGTCAAGGAAAATAAAGCATATTTATTTAAGCATATTTCTATGGACATATGACTATGGTATGTTGTGAGAAGAAGCGAGTCTCAGAATATAACATGCATTTATGTAGAAAATATATGTATGTTTATAGAAAGGTCTGGCTGGGGATAAAATATTAACAAGTACTTTCCAGAAAGGGAACTTTCACCTTATGCCTCAAACAATTTCGTATCGAATTCTTTCAAGTGAGTATGTACTATTTTCATAATAATGTTTTCAAAGATATTTCCATTTTGGAGAAAAATGATATGCCCCAATATATCTTTGTTATTAGGAGTTATGTAAGATTTTTTCTTTCTTTCTAATTTTCTTTTCCCAGTGTCATCTATTGCATTTTTGGCCAAAGAATAACTATAGCAGGCAGAAGAAGTAAGATTAATATGACCAAGAACAGGGACCAACAGAGTAATGGTTACATTGTTGGACTTCCGTGGAGTTGACCATGGTTTGAGTCCCAGACCTTGCAGCTTAAAAGTCATACTGGGCACTTGGCATGTGTGCCCAAAATCCCAAGAGGAGAATGGAAGAGAAGGGACTGTGGCATGGCCATCCCCACCTGGGGAATGATATCTCACTTTCTGTCTCTCTGTGTTTCTGTCTCTCTGGTGAGCACAGGCACCCTAGAGCAAAAATCTCTCTAAAAAATTATGACCAAGGAAAAAGTGATAAGGATAATTAGCAGGCTGGACACTGGGTTTCCAACTTAGGACTTAAGCTACCATGTGTTCTTGAGACTGTATGGCTTGGTGGGGGTTGGGAGGGAATCTGAAGGGCACTACATCAAGGTTCCTCAGGCAGAAGAACTCTAAAAAGTTTTCCAAGGGAGAAGGAGAACAAAGGGAACACTTAGCCATAGTGCTGTGGCTCTTGTTTCCAGTTCCATGCTCATACCTGGATATACACAAAGAATATGGGAAGCAGTGAACTCCAGGAATTGGTTCTAGTTGTTTCTTCTGCTTGTCCAGAAACTAGAGAGCATATACATGTAATTCAGAGACTGGCAGTCTCACACCCTAGCTTGAGAACTGGCTTGTCTTCTTTTCTCTTGAGCCCATATTTGTCCCTCACTAACAGCAATGGCATTTTAGTAATAATAATAATAATAATGAAAAATTAAACAATCAAAAGGTTAAAAAATTCTAAAATTAATCAGACGGCTTCCTTTCTGTATCTTGTGATCTTTTGACTTTCTCCCTTTGCCCTTCTTACCATCCCTTTAATTCTGTTAGAGGACATTAAATCCCTCTTCTTGCCTCCTGCATGGCATATTGGTGAACTCATGCCAAGTCCCCAGGAGTTAAGGGCATCTAGGTTCCTTGAATAAAGACAAAAGTCTTCCAGATAGAGACCATGGAAGTAGGAGAAGATCTTAGGACAAATCATAGTTACCAGAGACCAGTCAAGGTGCTCCTAGATCTGATGTGAGTTACACTCCAGGTCCAGCCACACAGGAAGGCCAAGCCAGGACCCACATGGGCAGCCAGTAGTCATGTAAAGAAAACTGCATTACTTTTATAAGTCTCTTTCCAGGGCCACAGCACACAAGGGTGGGTGTCCAAAAGTGAGGGTGGCTTCCTTATCATCACCTTAGTCCTAATGGACCTAAACCAGCTAGCTTCAAGTGTCTCAGGTTCAGGAGTACTGTGAAGGTGTCAAGGAAAATAAAGCATATTTATTTAAGCATATTTCTATGGACATATGACTATGGTATGTTGTGAGAAGAAGCGAGTCTCAGAATATAACATGCATTTATGTAGAAAATATATGTATGTTTATAGAAAGGTCTGGCTGGGGATAAAATATTAACAAGTACTTTCCAGAAAGGGAACTTTCACCTTATGCCTCAAACAATTTCGTATCGAATTCTTTCAAGTGAGTATGTACTATTTTCATAATAATGTTTTCAAAGATATTTCCATTTTGGAGAAAAATGATATGCCCCAATATATCTTTGTTATTAGGAGTTATGTAAGATTTTTTCTTTCTTTCTAATTTTCTTTTCCCAGTGTCATCTATTGCATTTTTGGCCAAAGAATAACTATAGCAGGCAGAAGAAGTAAGATTAATATGACCAAGAACAGGGACCAACAGAGTAATGGTTACATTGTTGGACTTCCGTGGAGTTGACCATGGTTTGAGTCCCAGACCTTGCAGCTTAAAAGTCATACTGGGCACTTGGCATGTGTGCCCAAAATCCCAAGAGGAGAATGGAAGAGAAGGGACTGTGGCATGGCCATCCCCACCTGGGGAATGATATCTCACTTTCTGTCTCTCTGTGTTTCTGTCTCTCTGGTGAGCACAGGCACCCTAGAGCAAAAATCTCTCTAAAAAATTATGACCAAGGAAAAAGTGATAAGGATAATTAGCAGGCTGGACACTGGGTTTCCCACTTAGGACTTAAGCTACCATGTGTTCTTGAGACTGTATGGCTTGGTGGGGGTTGGGAGGGAATCTGAAGGGCACTACATCAAGGTTCCTCAGGCAGAAGAACTCTAAAAAGTTTTCCAAGGGAGAAGGAGAACAAAGGGAACACTTAGCCATAGTGCTGTGGCTCTTGTTTCCAGTTCCATGCTCATACCTGGATATACACAAAGAATATGGGAAGCAGTGAACTCCAGGAATTGGTTCTAGTTGTTTCTTCTGCTTGTCCAGAAACTAGAGAGCATATACATGTAATTCAGAGACT